ACAACACCACGAGTCCATGGCAGACACCAACACACGACAGCCAGGAGGAGGGGGCTGCTCTGTGACTTTTGTCTTTTGACAAGTCCCATCATTTCCCTGACTAGAGTCTAGCATGCTCTGAAACCAGCAGCCACCTGAAATCCTCTCCCTGCTGACAGTGAGAAGAGGGATCCTTCAGGAAGAGGTGATGGCTTTGACAGCAATTCAGGAGGTGGAGCTTGGGTATTTGGCTGCAGTTTACCTGCTTCACAGAGCTGGGACTTCTCCAAGTCAACAGGTCTTCTCCATGCACGCGACGGGTGTTTCAGCTCAAGGTTTCCAACAGCGGAGGAGAACTCTTGGCAAACGAGTAGCAGTGGAAGTCCCCATGAAGAAAGAGGTGAGGCCCACCCTCACAGACAGCAGAACAACCCCTCCCCCCAACTCCCTCCCAGCAGTTCAGCTCCAGAGACACTATGTCCTCCTGCACCTCTTCCTCTGGCAGGCCTCCGCCTCCGAGCCCCGCAGGAGCTATCTGAGTCGCTTCCCGACGAGGAGGAGGAGGAGGAGGAAGAAGAAGAAGGCTTCGAGGTGCTACAGTTCATGCTCAAGACCCACCCCAGTTTGTTGTGCAGCACCTGCTTGAGTCCTGGTGGCAAGGGCAGGACCTCCAGCGTGTCCACGTAGTCGGGCAGGAGCTGGCGCAGGCGGTAGCAGCAGAGGTACTGGAGGGAGGTGCAGCTGGCGCAGGACCTGATCACCTTCATGCTGCTCTTGGCCGCCGTGGAGCACACCATGGGGTAAAACTTCTTGTTCTGCAGCTTCGTGGCTGCAACCCCTGCGGGGGGAGAGGGGGGGGACAGAGTCAGAGGGGAGTTCCTGTTCGTTTTGAGGAGGTGACCTCCCTCGTGGCTACGGAGTTGTAGGGGAACGCTGGAGAAAGGGCATTTTGAGATCTACTAAACACCAGATGGAACCTCCTCCTGCTCGCCTCACGCCTTGCTCTTCCCCTTGGCTGGTGTTTTCTCCTGCAGCAGGACCTGGGAGTTGAGGTGAGGCTGCCCTGCTGCCCCCTCCCCAGCCCCCAGCCCCGGGCCCTGCTGGCCTCTCACCGATGCACTTGCGGTTCTTGAAGAAGGTGAGTGTCCCATGCCACGTGTCCAAGTGCACCCCGATGATGGAGCCTTGGCCAAAGCGTGAAGAGAAGTTGGTTTTATCTCCTTTGTGATGCAGGAGCCCTTAAAAACACCAAAAGCAGCATTCAGGGGCAAGCCTGTGCTCCATGGATTCATCCCAACCCCTGTGCTCCCAGTACAGCCTTGCTCGGCGCCTAAACGATCCCCCCACTGCCTGATCCCCACCCTCCCACCCCACAGCAGGTGATGGAAAGGGGCAAGCTGAGGTTCTGCAGCACCCAAACTCCCCAGCAGTGACGTGCAAGTGGCAGTGCCAGCACCCTGGGGGTTCACAGACCAGTTCCAAGAGAACCTTAAAATGCAGGAGAGGTGAGCTGCCCCAAGAGGTGAGATGCTCCGAGAGCTGGGAGCTCCAGGCAGCTGCTCTGCTTGTCCCTAACTCACAGCTCTGGTGGCCTTTTTGGTCCCAAACCTGCTCAAATCATTGAATTCTCAACTCCTAAGGACAAGAATTGTGCCTGCTGGTGGTACCTGTGTAGGACAGTCCCCAGCTGTCCTCATCCTTGCCCAGCAGGCTGCAGAAGGTGTGGCGGTACTTGTCCAGGTTCACATCTGATGTCCCAATTCCCACCATCTGGGAGGCAAGGCCAGGGAGAAGAACACCAGCTAAGCATCACTTTGAGCAGCAAAGCACCACCAAGACTCCACCTCTCCTCTCCTCTCCTTCGCACAGGCCAAACCAGCCAGAGGTTTTGGTGAGGCCAGGTCTGAGGTTTCAGGCTGGAGTTGAAGGCCCCCAGCTCCAGCTGCCTGCCCTGAGTGAGGAGGCCCAGCTGAACTGCTGGAGAAGGTTGCTGGGCTGTTCATAGAACAGTCTGGGTTGGAAGAGACCTTAAATATGATCTAGTTGCAACCCCTTGCCATAAGCAGGGACACCTCCCACTACACCAAGTCCCTTGAAGTGTCATCCAACCTGGCCTCCAGTGATGGAGCATCCACAGCTTCCCTGGGCAACCCGGGTCAGGGTCTCCCCACCCTCCCAGTGAAGAACTTCTTCCTAATATCTAACCTAAATGTCCTCTCTTTGTATTTAAAACCACCTGTCCTTGTCCTGCCCTAACAGGCCCTGCTAAAAAAGTCTGTCCCCAGCTTTCTGAGAGGCCCCTTGAAGTCCTGGAAGGCCATGAGAATGCCTCTTCTTTATGATGTTGTGTGGGACAGTGTCAAATGCTTTGCACAAATCCAGGTAGATGGCATCAGTTGCTCTTCCCTTACCCACCAACACTAACTCCATCAGAGAAGGCCATCAAATCTGTCAAGCACAGCTTGTCCTTGGTGAAACCACACAGGCTGTCACCAATCACCTCATCTCCATGAGTCCCAGCATGGTTTCCAGGAGGATCTGCTGCATGATCTTGCTGGGCACAGAGATGAGACAGCCTGGCCTGCAGTTCCCTGGGTCTTCCTCGTTAAAAATGGGGATGATATCTCCCCTTCTCCACTTGGTGGGAACTTCACCAGACCACAACTCCTCAAATACAATAGAGAGTGGCCAACTTCACCCACAGGTTCCCTCAGAACCTGCTGCAGAAGCACCTCAGCTCCCACGCCCTCGTGCACCTCTGGGTTCCTCAGATGGCCTCAAAACCCCCTCTCCTACTGCAGGCAGTTCTTCACTCCCTCTGCTCTAGGAACCCCGGGTGTTTCTGCGTGCCCACGAGCCCCTCTGCCCCACGTACCATGTCTGTGCCATAGACAGGGGAGGTCATTTTGATCTCCCAGAAGTGCTGCCCGTCCGCCAGCTCCTTGTTGCCGCGGATGGCGGCGGTGCCGCAGCTGTACTCCATGTGGAAGTTCACCTTGCGGTTGTCGCAGCTCAGCAGGGTGGCCGTGGACTTGTTCAGGTCATCCCACACCCAGTCGAAATCTGAGAGGCACAGAGGGGAGGAGGATGAGGTCAGGAGTTCCCCAAGGAGCGAGCCCTAAGGCAGCTTGGAGAAACCCAACGTCACGGCGGGGATTTTGACTGTTTCAGAGAGTGAATCATAGAATCATAGAATCA